TCTCTCTCTCTCTCTCTCTCTCTCTCTCTCCCCCTGGCATAATCCCACCTGTTAATGTCCTCCAAAAGCTTGAAAGGAAGCACCTTATTGTCGACCTCAACGTGGAATTCGTACGCCACCGAATACCCCACCCGCGCATCTCTTATATCAAAACCAGAAATCTTGAGGTCATCGGCTTGAAGCCCTAAAGACTTCACCGTTGCTTCCTTCAAATCCTGAATTCAAAATCAAAACTAAAAAATTTACAGATTAAATAACGCTAAAGAAATGAATCGAAAGACTGTGAAAGAAATTGCATTTTGTGATTACTTACGGAAATAGCTTGGGATATGGAGGGCTGAAAAAATTAGAGCCCGAGAAGAGGACGGAGATTGCGAAACCACGATAAGCAAAAGCAACACTCGTGAATAAAAGGATTTGTTCAGCAAACTTGGTATGGATTTGTTCAGTTCGACGAGAGCAGTCCAAAGAAAGCACTTTCCGGAGATTAGACGTCGGAAGGCATCAGAAACTGCATTGGAAGGTGCGGTGGCCGGGAATTTCAAACTGAAATTCTGGCCGATCGGCGGGGAATCGGGCGGCGTGGTGATGGGGGTTTTGTAGATCAGCTCATGGGCTTCTTGGATTTGATCTCGGATCACTATGGGTTGGCCAGAGGTAGTCGGAATCCACAGCGGCGCATTTCTTCTTACGTCATGAGTCTCTCACGTTTTTTTCTCTCTTTTAACGCTGATGAATAAGCGTAGAAGAGAATTTGGGAAGATAGAGAGGGAGAGATGGGGAGATGGCAGTTGGTGGTGGAACGTGTGATGTTCGTTTGTGGGGCTGATTTTTGGAGGATAGCTGTCCTCTGGAAATGGTTTATGGTCGTATCCCACTTGCAGATTTTGCTTTCAAAATTTTTCTCTCTCAGTTTCACAACTTACCCATGTTTTACTTCTTTCTCTCATACGGTGGTAAATTTGTAGTGACCGGCCGTATGGGAGAATGAGGTTGTTTCCCTCTTGGCCGGCCAAATGACTCTTCGAGTGAGAATGAATACGTTTCGGCATTTGGGGGTTTCTTTTTTTTTTTTTTTTTCCTTTTTTTCCTTGTTCCCTCGTATCTTTGCGCGCATTTCATTAAAAAAAAAAAAAAAAAAACGGGGGGAAGGAGTGAGCGGAAAAATTGAAAAATTTATTTCTAATGCCCGCCCAATGTAATTGTAATCTGTACATTTATATATTTTTAAATATATATAAAACAAATCAGTCAAAATGTCAACAAATTTTAATATATATGTATATATATATATTATAACTCTTTATAAACGCTATTATAGACTAAAGCAGTAACATTTTTTGAAAATCGCTATAACTAACCGCTACGAAAAGCCCTTTTTCTTGTAGTGATATGCCGTTAACGTAACGCACCCGCTAGTCGAGTGTAAAAGGTTTATTAATGCTTTTTTTTCTTTTTTAAATAATTTTAATAAATCTTTTGTAAGAGTAGTTTTTGAAGTAAACTGTGCATTATGATTATGTACAACCTTAATATATCGTTACCAATTAGGATTGTGACGACCATAACTTTTGATCATCATCTTATGTTCATACTTAACCTTTACTACTTACTAGTTATAACCTCTTAAAAATTCAAGCCAATTTTCTTTTTCATTCTTACCATGTACGTCTAAATGCTGTAGCATTTAACTAGCATTCTATTTTCAACTATTCGTAAAATGTTGTAGCATTCTGACAGCATTCTGTTACATTAGTCATTCTCAAAATGCTATAGCTTTCTGACAGCATTCTGTTACATTAGTCATACCTAAAATGTTGTAGCATTCTGACAACATTCTATTACATTAGTCATACCTTGTGACAAGAGGTTGCTATTAATCGCCTCACTGTCTTGTAAGCTTAACTTTCGTTACATAACTCATCTATATTCATAAAAACCATTTACTTTTTACACAAAAAGTTTAACAGCGTTTCCAAAACACGTGATCCATCCACAACCCACTTGCCCACTCCGCTGCTACATCCTCTATGCATGCCCAGCAACAAGTTTCAGGGAGTCGGTGCCTTACCCGAGCTTCCTACAACACAAACAAACTTAATGAGCTTTCGCTCAGGAAGTATCAATAGGTCATAACATATGCAATAATTATGCATACCCATATATGCATGCATGTCATAAATCATAATACATTTTGTACTACTAAAACATGCATGGCTTATGTTCTTCTTCTTTCATTTCATACTTTGTTTTGCTTTTGTCTCATTTTAGTCGTTCACATTGTTTTTTCACATTCTGAACAACTTTCATTTCGTGTTTCTCATTCTTTTCATTCTTCTTTACAGATACCGTACCTTTATATGGAATGGTTTCTGTTTTTCATTTTCTTGTCTTTTACTTCTTATGGGCCCAGTCCTGTTGTACCATAGTGCGCATAACCAGTGAGGAGTGGGGTAGCTAACCAATCCAGCTCAGTCACGGTTTCATTTCTTTCAGAGTCTCATAATAACCTTTCCTTCGAAGGCTGGTACAAACAGGACGTTTGGTCTCTTACCGTTTATCAATTTTCTCATTGAAACGGTAACTTCGGTTAAATCTTATGAATTTGTTCATTTTTGAGCAATTTATCATGAGATTGACTTTTCGTTAAAGTTTAACTCTTTCTCTTAACTTGACCTTGACTTATCATCGATACATACCTTTCACAGAGTAAAGTTCTACGGCTACTTAAGTCTTGTAGACACATGCTTAACATTGTATCTAACATTCACATTGTATCTAACATTCAAAATTCTACCATATGCACAATTTTTTGGACAACATAGAAAAGTAGCTTGTTCATGATATAGCCATAGAAAAACTATTGTACTTACAAAAGTTTCGCCAATGATGAGTTCTTTGTCTCACTTGACGCTTTTCGACTTCAATCGTTAATTGATCCTATTGCATAAATTTCTGATCATTAGATTCAAAATCCAAGATCAATAATCACATTAAAATTCAATTCGGAAAGGTCTACAATCCTTATGTTTGGTATTCAATCTCAAAATATTTTCTATCTTTAGAATTTGCACTAAAACCGTGCACTTTCCTCAGTCATGGACCTAATTTCTCAATTTCGGTCCAGAACTGTAAATTCTCATTGTGTTCGGTTTCTATACATCATCGATTATCGAAACACCTTTCTTTTCACACTTTAATCCCTTATTCCTCTTGAAATCCGATTTTAGTTCAAATGACTCAAATTAAATTTCGGCAGAGGTTGGCCTATTTCTGCATGTTTCCCGAGCTAACGTTAGCTCGTTTTATCCGTTGTTTCCACCACCAAACATAAATCACATACTTTCTCTTTCAAATAAAGCATAAATCTTAATCATGGTTTTAGGGTTTTCTCAACTTTTTCAACAAAATTCTCTATATCAAAATTGCTAGAAACCAAGGTTAAATAACAAAAAAAATCTAACCTTAGATTCTTAGAATCCACGTTCTCAAACCGTTTCAAGCAAAATCCCTACCTCTAGAAAATTTTTCCCTACTCTTCTCTACACATCCACAGTAGCAAAGAAAAAGGAAAACAAGAGAAAATCTTGAAATCTCACTTTAGGAAACAAAGGTCAATCTTTGGTGACACGATGCCTCGGTTACTCCGTCGATTTTTTTGGTCTAACTCACTTTTTCTCACATTGGAAGTTTTTTTTTTCCTCTCTATTATTCTTGGATGCTCTCTGGTGCTTTTCCACGTAATGGCCAATATATGCCTTTGTTCCTCACTTGAACCGACTATCACAAAAGCAAGGACCAATTTTGTAAACTTTGACTTTTCAAGCACCTTTTTGCAAAAAAAATCACAAATATATATTGCTTCCACAAAGAGTTGGCCAGCGTGCGGACAGTCCGGGCGGCCGCGCGGTCCGACTGCGCAGGCGCGCACAGCGCGCGGCTAGAGTGCGCAGCTGGCAGTCCAGATTTGGGAATTAGACCCCGAATGAACCCGAGGTTTTCTGAAACTCTCGTAATGCGTGCTGACAGACCCGGAAGAGTTCTGGACCCCGACGAAGGTGAAATCTGACCCGAAGACGAAGAACGAAGCCAAAGAATGAAGAGTTCAAAAATCGAAGACCCGTTGATGTAACGGAAGAAAATAATTATTGTAATTATTTATTTATTCGATTTGGTTGTGAATTATAATTTTCATGGGACC